TGTATGGATATTTGTATGGCCTTTTCGGCTTATGTTTTGAGTTTAAAAATGGCCATGTCGGCCTTATAGGCCCGTATGTCACATGTATAAGTTTGCATATCATGGTGGGTCGTCAGATGTTGAGTATTCCCCTATGTTTCATTCTTGTTATCTCATGACGAGTTTTCTAGCTCATTTACCATGATAGTATGATAAGAAAGATATGTTATGTTGGTACTCGGTTGAGTAAGGCACCGGGTGCTCGTCGCGGCCCATCCGGTTTGGGTCGTGACAAAACCAGTAAAAATAATCCCTGAAGGATACAAGTAGTTGGCACGAAGCCCAACTATGACAATTAATCCATTTTTATAAGGATATCACAAAACTACAATCAATTAGGTAGTAATTTTATTAAGCGGGATGGACCAAGTCACAATCCCCGACGGTGCTCTACCCCACGCCCGTTATCCGGCGTGCAAGTCACCTCACATAGCACTACATTGTGCAAATTCGGGTTTTCAAACCCTCAACACAGCATTTACATTTATTACTAACCTCAAGCTGGCCAAAGTCCTAGCTTGCTATGCCCTTGCCTTTCGAATTAACCTCCTCGTGCATCGAATCTGACCCAAACCACAACGAATACGTCACAATAGGCTAAGGGAACATAACCCAATCGAAAAGACTCGAAAAATATTGATAATCACGAAATTTGCAAAACCCGAGCCCCGGGCCCACTTCTCGAAAAATCGGAAAATTAACATCACCGATTCCTCATCTCTCCACGAGTCTATACATACCAAAATCTCTCAAATCGGACCACAAATGGCCCCTCAAATCTCAAATTTAGAATTTCAAACTCAAGCCCTAATTTCTTCCAATTTGGGCTATATTCTCATGAATTTCAAGGATGATTCTACAATAAAATCATGTTTTTAACTCATAAGACTTACCTTCAGTCGATCCCAGTTGAAACTCTCTTCAATCTCCGTCCAAAAGCTCTCAACAATGCCCAAAAATGGTGGAAAAATGGGTTGGGTTCGCGGATGAAATGTTTTAAAACATTCTGCCCAGGTCTGACCCCTCCTTCTTCGCGTTCGCGTACAGTATCTCGCATTCACGAAGGCCAATTTCCAGGCCCTTCGCGTTCGCGTAGCAAGTCTCGCGTTCGCGTAGGGCAAATGCCCCCAGGCCCAATTTTCCTTCTACGCGTTTGCGGTTACTCTCCCGCGTTCGCGTAGCACCTTGACCCACTCCTTCGCGTTCGCGACTCCCCCTTTGCGTTCGCGAAGGCCAACATCACAGCCTCCCATTTTCTTTTTCGCGTTCGCGAGACTCCCCTCGTGTTCGTGAAGAAGGAAACCAGATACCAGCACAGCAATCAACAAGTCCCAAAAATGACCCGTTGGGCATCCGAAACACACCTGAGGCCCCCCGGACCTCAACCAAAAACACCAACACATCCTATAACATCATTCAAACTCGTTCCAATCATAAAAACACCTCAAACAACACTAAAACCATCATTTCTCATCGAATTCAAGCCTAAGTTCTTCAAAAACTTCTGAAACACGCATTCGATCAAAAACCCAACCAAATCACCTCCGAATGACTTGAAATTTTGCACACACATCCCAAATCACCTAACGAAGCTACTGCAACTCTCGGAATTCCATTCCGACCCTCGGATCAAAATCTCACCTATCAACCGGAATTCGCCAAAATGCTAACTTCGCCAATTCAAGCCTAATTCTACACCGGACCTCCAAAATTACTTCCGATCACACTCCTAAGTCACAAATCATCCCCTGAAGCTAACCAAATCATCGAAATTCATATCCGATCCCTCTAACACATAAGTCAACGTCCGATTGACTTTTCCAACTTAAGCCTTCTTAAAAGAGACAAAGTGTCTCATTTCTTATCAAAACCATTCCAAACCAACTCTAACACATCAAATACTGATAATGGAACATGAACAAGCATAAAATGGGGGAAACGGGGCGGTAACACACGTGACGACGAGTTGGGTCGTCACATCCTCCCAACTTAAACAAACGCTCGTCCTCGAGCGAGTCAAGAAACATACCTGAAGCCTCAAATAGGTGAGGGTATCTGCACCGCATCTCCCGCTCGGTCTCCCAGGTAGCCTCCTCCACGGGCCGACCTCTCCACTATACTTTCACCGAAGCAACATCCTTTGACCTCAACTTCCAAACCCGACGATCCAAAATGGCTGCTGGCTATACCTCATAAGTCAAGTCACCCTCCTGCTGAACTGTATTGAAATCTAGAACATGGGAAGGGTCCCCAATGTAATTCCGGAGCATAGACACATGAAAAACTGGATGCACGCCCGACAAGCTAGGTAGCAAGGCAAGCTCATAAGCCACCTCCCCGATCCTCCTATGTACCTCAAAAGGCCCAATGAACCGCGGACTTAGCTTCCCTTTCTTCCCGAATCTCATAACACCTTTTGTGGGTGAAACCTTTAGTAAGACTTTCTCACCAATCATATACGATACATCTCGGACCTTCCTGTCTGCATAACTCTTCAGTCTCGATTGTGATGTACGGACTCTCTCCTGAATCACCTTCACCTTCTCCAATGCATCCTGAACCAAATCTGTCCCCAACAATCTAGCCTCCCCTGGCTCGAGCCAACCAACTGGAGATCTACACTGCCTCCCATATAAGGCCTCATACGGTGCCATCTGAATGCTGGACTGACAGCTATTATTGTAGGCAAACTCTGCAAGCGGTAGAAACCGATCCCATGACCCTCCAAAATCAATAACACAGACACGTAACATATCCTCCAATATCTGAATGGTGCGCTCGGACTGCCCGTCCTGAGGGTGAAAAGCTGTGCTCAACTGCACCTGAGTACCCAACTCTCGCTGAACCGCCTGCCAAAACTGAGAGGTGAACTGAGTGCCCCGATCTGATATGGTGGAAACTGGGACACCATGCAATCGAACTATCTCCCGAATATAGATATCTGCCAGCCGCTATGAAGAATAAGTAGTACAAACCGGAATGAAGTGTGCGGACTTGGTCAGCCTGTCTACAATCACCCAAATAGCATCAAATTTCTTCAGAGTTCGTGGGAGTCCGGTAACAAAATCCATAGTGATCCTCTCCTACTTCCACTCAGGAATAACCATCTGCTGATGTAAGCCACCCGGTCTCTGATGCTCATATTTCACTTGCTGACAATTAAGACACCGGGCTACATACTCCACAATATCTCTCTTCATCCTCCGCCACCAATAGTGCTGTCTGAGATCCTGATACATCTTCGCGGTACCCGGATGAATGGAATACCCCGAGCTATGGGCCTCCTCCAATATCAACTCCCGAAGCCCATCCACGTTGGGCAGGCAAATTCGGCCCTGCATCCTCAACACACGATCATCTCCAATGGTCACATCCCTGGCATCATCATGCTGAACCCTGTCCTTAAGGACAAGGAAATGCGAATCATCATACTGACACTCCCTGATGCGGTCATACAAGGAAGACCGAGAAACCACACACGCCATTTCATGACCCAATTTAGGATCGTGATCGGCGCTTGGGAGCAAGTGCTCCTAAGTAAGCCTCATCGGAAATTTTACAAAAAATCGGGCAGAGTTTCCCCTATTTTTAGACCATTCCAAAAATTTCCCTGTCTCAATCAGCAACCAAACATCCTAATATTATACCAAACAATGGACAACTTATCAATTTTAACAAAACAGAAGTCTCCACCATTGCTAATCAACCAACTAGCAACCAGAAATACTAATTATCTCCAACTTTAATACTACAGAACGATACTCAACATAAGACTAATAGCAAAATAATACTCATGACACTAAAAGAATGACTATGGAGCGACTCTAAGAATTCAAAGAATGACCATAACAATTGATGAAAATCTCTGCCCACGCAAACAAGTGCGAGGCTCACCAAGAATTTTCAACCTGTGCGCTCTAATTAATGAAATCCTCACCTGCGTCAACTGCTGTCTCTATAAAAAAAATTAGCGGGGAATGAGTCGCTAGCTCAGTGAGTAATAACACTTAACCACAATTTGGGGACAAGTCAGAAACATGCTAGTATCTCAAAGAGAAAATACATAAAAATGCCCTTTCAGAAACAATAAATAATTTTCGGCCTCATCATGCTTTCCTTGTAGTATAAAACAATTAATAATTCAGGAATAAGCTCGGTAACCACTGTATAATATCAATATTCAAATATGGGAGGTTTCAATGAACGGATCATGTAATCGGTATAACTGTGGACTTCTTCGCAAGAAGTCATATATATAACGGTAGTCCCTACTCGATGGAAATCGGTAACGGTATACTAGTTCTACCTTCCCACTAGCGAGGGCTATAACGGTAATCGGTAATAACAAGGTGCACCAGGTTTAACGAACCCGCCGTTAGCTACGGGATCCTTCAAAGTCTACTCCCATTTATACTTGTCTCTGTAATCCGTATATATACTCGTAGAAACTATTTTAAAATAATATAGGGCATTTCGGTTCTTATCAAATCATATAATTTCCTTTCGATAATAGTAAATTCAAGTAACGGTAAAACAAGTCTAGTGACAACCAAAATATTTAAAACCACGGTATTCATCTCAAATAACTATTTCGGTATCATATCGGGTAAAAGACTTGTCCCACATGCAACTTAAATAATCGGTAACATATTCATATTAAAAATCATGTGTAAATCATGCAAGTTATGAAAGCACAAATTGCGGTAAGATTACTACTCACTATACTCGTGACGAAATACCAAGCGCGCAACTTAATTAAAATTAATCTCTACGAAGACCGGAACTCTAAATTGATTAGACCTCTATGTGACTACTGAAAAGGCTGCAATTTCTGAGTAATAATTACCCTCTTTAAAAACCCCAAACCACTCAATAATCATCAATTCCTCACAAAACCCCTGATAATTCTCTCTCTGAAACTCTCCAAAGCTCTTCACACCACCAAAATTCTCTTAGGGTTTTCAGAAATTCCTCACCATGACAAATCCCCAAGACAATCCTGGCACTTCACCACCTGTTTCACCCAACACCTCATCTTCCACACCACCGGTCGAAAACCCAAAACCTAGATTCCATCGCCAGAAAATGCTAGCAAGAAAAACTGTAGCTACAGGTTCTTTGAGAAAAACTTTGAATGAAAAACTTCAGTCCAAACAAAAGAAAACAGGCCCAGCAGCTGAGACCAACTCTAGCTCTGAATCTGATGATTACATCTCCACCAGTGAAGGAGATGAACCTGGGTCTTCTGNGCGTCTTGTTCCTCTTCAAGCCTCGTGTCCTTGTCTCTCCGGGCCAATAATTTGGTTTTGACTCCAAGTTGATGCTAAATCTTCTCGCTCTCAATTTGATTACCGATTAGAATTGTAAACGTTTTTCCATGTTTTCTTTTATGTACTCCATTTGTTGGCAGGAAAGTCCTTTCCTCTCTAAACCCTTATTAGTTCTCACGCCCTACTATTCTAATGGGCTTTGGCCTCATAAGTTGCTTTATTTCTTTTTATTTAATTGTTAGCTAAATGACCAATTTGCCCTCGGATTAAATTATGGGGTATTACATTCTCCCCACCTTATAAAATTCGGTCCCCGAATTTAATTCTGGTACGTACCTGTAGACTGAAATAAGTGAGGGTACTTGACTCGCATATTATCCTCTATTTCCCAAGTAGCTTCTTCAACGGCATGATTTCTCCATAAAACTTTTACGAACACAATTTCTTTTGACCGTAGCTTTCTTACTTGTCTATCAACAATTGCCATCGGCTCTTCCTCGTAAGACAACTTCTCATCAAGTGGTATAGTTGGTGCTTCAATCACCTGAGATGAGTCTGATATACATTTTCTTAGCATTGAGACGTGAAACACTGGATGAATAAAAGATAATTCAGGAGGAAGTGACAAACGATAAGCCACCGCTCCCACTCGGTCTAAGTATCTCATACGGTCCTATAAACCGGGGGCTCAACTTGCCTCTTTTCCCAAACTGCATTACACCTTTCATAGGGGAGACTCGTAGGAACACTTTGTCTCCAATTGGGAACACTTATTCTCTTCTTCTCTTATCAGCATAAGACTTTTGTCTGCTTTGAGCTNCTCTCCTCAACTGGAATGTATGCCAAGCTCCCCATACTCACCGACTTTCGGCTCAAAGCATCGGCCACTACATTGGCCTTCCCCGGGTGATACAGAATAGTAATGTCATAATCCTTAAGTAACTCCAACCATCTACGCTGCCTCAAATTAAGATTCTTTTGCTTGAACAACTGCTGAAGATTGTGATGATCCGTGAATACCTCACAGGATACGCCATACAAGTAATGCCTCCAAATCTTCAGTGCATGAACTATAGCAGCTAGCTCCAAATCATGAACGGGGTAGTTCTGCTCATGGGGCTTCAACTGACGAGAAGCATACGCAATAACTCTACCCTCCTGCATCAAAACACAACCAATCCCAACTCTCGAAGCATCGCAATATTCCGTATAAGATCCTGAAGCTGATGGCTAGACTAACACTGGAGCTGTGGTCAAAGCCGTCTTGAGCTTCTGAAAGCTCTCCTCACACTCGTCCGACCATACAAATGAGACACCCATCTGAGTCAACTAGTTTAAGGGCGATGCAATAGAGGAAAAACCCTGCACAAACCGGCGATAGTAACCTGCCAACCCAAGGAAGTTGCGAATCTCTGTGGCTGAGGTCGGTCTAGGCCAACTCTGCACCGCCTCTATCTTCTTTGGGTCAACCTGAATACCCTCGCTGGACACCACATGTCCCAAGAAAGCCACTGAACCGAGCCAGAACTCACACTTGGAAAACTTTGCATAAAGCCTCTCCTCCCTTACTCTGCAACACAACTCGCAAATGCTGCGCGTGCTCCTCCTGACTGCGCGAGTATACCAGTATATCGTCAATGAACACTATGACAAATGAATCTAGGTAAGGCCGGAACACACTGTTCATCAGGTGCATGAAAGCTGCTGGGGCATTGGTCAGCCCGAAAGACATGACAAGAAATTCATAATGACCATATCTAGTCCTGAAAGCAGTCTTATGAATATCTGAATCCCTGATCTTCAGTTGGTGATAACCCGAACGGAGAACAATCTTGGAGAACACCCTCGCTCCCTGAAGCTGGTCAAACAAATCATCAATGCGGGGTAGGGGATACTTGTTCTTAATTGTTACCTTGTTCAATTGCCTATAATCGATGCACATTCTCATTGTGCCATCCTTCTCTTCACAAATAGAACCGGTGCACCCCAAGGTGATACACTAGGCCGAATAAATCCCTTATCCAGGAGCTCTTGAAGCTGCTCCTTCAATTCTTTCAACTCTGCTGGTGCCATATGATATGGTGGAATAGAAATAGGCTGAGTAACCGGCACCAGGTCAATACCAAAATCAATATCCCTGTCCAGCAGCATACCCGACAGGTCTGCGGGAAACACATCGGGAAACTCCCTCACAACGGGAACAGACTCAATGCTAGGAGTCTCAGCTCCCACATCTCTAACAAACGCCAAATAGGAAAGATAATCCTTCCCAACCATACGCTGGGCCTTCAAGAAAGAAATAACTCTGCTAGGAATATAGTCAGTCACACCACGCCACTCGATCCGCGGTACACCCGGCATAGCCAAAGTGACTGTCTTAGCATAACAGTCTAGAATAGCATGACACGGAGATAACCAGTCCATGCCCAGGATAACATCGAAGTCTACTATGCTCAATAGCAATAAATCAACTCGGGTCTCCAGACCCGAGATCAAATAATACTGAGGCGTCTCTGCGACAGACTGAAATAATACCTGTAATGACAGCGTCTGAAGCAATGGCATCTGTCCTTCCCGGCATCGCGTAGAAACGAGCTTGGCCACCGCCTGAGCGATCTCCACCTCTGGGGCGACCCCTGGCTGTCTGATCTCCACCCTTAGCTGACTGGGCGGGTGATGAAGTAACTGGAGCAGAAGTCGAGGGCTGACCCCTCTGCTGATGCTGTCTCCCACGAAGGCGAGGGCACTGCCTCCTAAAATGACCCAACTCTCCGCACTCATAGCAGCTGCCCAGTACTGAAGAAGGGGACTGATGAGAACCTCTCGCACCGGAGTGACTAGCAGATGCACGCGGCGCAAAAGAACCCTGAACTGATGGGGCATGAGATGAACTCTGAGCTGGGAGGGCGCTGAGTGAAGTCTGACCCTGCTGGGGCCCATGATGACCACGGCCTGAAGATCCCCCACGATACTTTGGACGAGCTGACTGAGCAGGCCTGAAAGAGCGACCTCTACCCTGCTGGAACTGACCCCTCGAAGGAGCACCACTGTAACTGCCTGATCCACGAGGCCTCTTAGCCTCCCTCTCCTCTCGCTCTCTACGGCGAACTGACTCAATCTCACGAGCAATGTTTACCACCTCCTCAAACGTAGCTCCCAGTACTCTCTCTAGTCATCAGAATACGGAGATGGTAGTTAAGACCATCCAAAAATCTCCCGATCCTCTCACGATCTGATGGAACCATCCAAGTAGCATGACGAGCCAGCTGGGAAAACCTCATCTCGTACTGAGTCACTGTCATATCTCCCTGTGTCAGCCACTCAAACTGCCTACGCAACTCTTCCCTACAGTACTGAGGTATATACTTCTCCAGAAAAAGAGCTGAAAACTGCTGCCAAGTCAGATGTGCTGCACCGGCAGGCCTACGCCTCTCAAAGTCCTCCCACCAAGTAAGAGCAGCCCCCGTGAACTGAAAAGTAGTAAATGCCACACCAATCAACTCAAGGATCCCTGCCGTACGGAGCATACGCTGGCATCTGTCAAGAAAACTCTGGGCATCCTCGCCCTCAGCACCACCGAATGTCGGAGGCTGGAGTCTACCAAACCTCTCGAGACGACGCTGCTCATCGTCTGGCATAGCTGGAACCACAAAACCCTGAGCTGGTGCAACCTGCTGAGCTGGAGGTGCCTCCGGTGTCTGTAGCCCTTGCACTCCCTGCATTACCTGCGCAGGTGTGCAGGCATCGGGGGTCTGATTGCCTCCCCCGGTCTGTGAAGTAGCTGCTGCTGCTGTGGTGGCTGAAACTGCCTGAGCCAAGCCAGTACAGACCGTCAAGATCTGTGCCAAGGTCTTTTGAAGACCCGAAATCACAATAGGCACAGCTGGTGCCTGAGCAGGTGGTGCTGGAGTCTCCACCGCTGGAGCCTGATCCTGAGCTGGGGCAATTATCGGATTAGCAGGTACTGCCCCGGCTACTCTACCCCTGCCACGACCACGACCGCGTCCACGGCCTCTGGCGGCCTCAGTAGGTGGCACTGGTGGTCGTCCGTCGCGTTCAGTAGCTCGTGTTCTCACCATCTGTGAGAGAATAGAATAGCAAAGATTTAGTTCACAGTTCAACAAAACCGCAGGACAAGAGTTTCAAGAATATGAAGTATTTCCTAAAGGTTCTGCAGCCTCTCGAGGATAAGTACAGACGTCTCCGTACCGATCAACGAGACTCTACTAAACCGGCTCATGACTCGCGAGACCAAGTAACCTAGGCTCTGATACCACCTTGTCACGACCCAAACCCCGATCGTGATGACGCCCAACACACTGCTAGGCAAGCCCGACCATTTACACAACCTTAACCAAATAACCAGAGGATAAATAAATATTCACAAGTAAAAACAACAATTTAAATGCGGAATTTCTGAAATAATTTCTAACATTCGAAACCCCAAAATATAAAATACTGATCAGCCCACAGATCTGGTGTCACGAACATGAGCCTCTAATACAAAATATTCACCTAATCACAAGTCTGTCTAGGAAAGAAAATACGAATAAAAGGATAAATATATATGGGAGAGATCAAGGTTGCGAACGCCATGCAGCTACCTCGATACTCCCGGATACTGCTGCTTAGCTAAACAAATCCTCACTCACCCTGTGGTGTACCTGGATCTGCACACAAGGTGCAGGGAGTATTGTGAGTACTTCCAACCCAGAAAGTAATAAATATAAATAATGTCTGAGGATAATAAATCCCAAATAAACACAAGGTAAGGCTAATAATACAGTAGCACTATAAGACAATTATAATAATACCACCACAGATAAAGAATAAATGACAATTAAAATATGCAATGCAACACATAAACTGGTACTCTCCAGTACCCCGCTGCGGCGTGCAGCCCGCTCCATTTATTTAACGTCAACGGCGCTCACTGGGGGTGTGCAGACTCCGGGAGGGGCCCCTTACGGCCCAAGCGCAATAATAAGCCATATCGTGGCATCAAACAAGCCCTCGGCCTCATATCAATATCCATATCATACCACTGTGGCGTGGAGTCCGATCCCATACTCAGACCAAAATCACATAAGCCTTTCGGCACAATAATATAAAAATATTCAGCCCAAACTTCATTTAAAAATATCACTTTAGTTTCTACTTTTAAAAAATGACTGAGTTTACAAAAACAGTGTTAAATACCAGGACTGAGTTCAATATCTAGAAATATGGTAAGAAACCAGTAAAAATAATCCCTGAGGGATTCAAGTAGTTGGCACGAAGCCCAACTATGACAATTAATCCATTTTTATAAGGATATCACAAAACTACAATCAATTAGGTAGTAATTTTATTAAGCGGGACGGACCAAGTCACAATCCCCGACGGTGCTCTACCCCACGCCTGTTATCCAGCGTGCAAGTCACCTTACATAGCACTATATTGTGCAAATTCGGGTTTTCAAACCCTCAACACAGCATTTACATTTATTACTAACCTCAAGCTGGCCAAAGTCCTAGCTTGCTATGCCCTTGCCTTTCGAATTAACCTCCTCGTGCGTCGAATCTGACCAAAACCACAACGAATACATCACAACAGGCTAAGGCAACATAACCCAATCGAAAAGACTCGAAAAATATTGATAATCACAAAATTTGCAAAACCCGAGCC